AATTAATTTTATATTAAATGTAACGGTAAAAGCAAACATACATAATTTTCACATTAAAAAGATTTTTTTAAAAAAAAGAAAATTACTTTTTTCTAAAAGATAAAATAAAAGAATGATTAAATACCTTTTTTGGTTTTTTTACTATAGGAAAAAATCCATTTTTGGTTCCTATATCGAAAAAATCTCCTTTTTGGTCCTTAAATTTTAAAATACGACCATTTTTTAGTTTTTCCGTTAAATTTTGATTGATATAGCGGGTTATTTAATGAAAATTTTTTTTTAACTTAAATTACATGGAAAATCCATTTCACAAGAGTTGATGACATGGTTAACTTTTTTTACCTTTAGTTACTTATTTACCCCCCCCATCTTCTTCTGCATCTTCTTCTTCCGTATCTTCTCCTTCCTTTTGCCTTTCTTTTTTTACCTCCAGGTGAACCCAAGAGCCGGGTTCATAGTGAACCCAGGCACCTAGGTTCATCGTGAACCCATGTGCTCCTTCCATACTTACCCCCATCGTCTTCCTCATCTTCTCCTTCCTCCAGCCTTTCTTTATTTTTTTTTTATTTTTTATTTTTACCTCCAAGTGAACCCAAGCACCTGGGTTCATCATGAACCCATGAGCTCCTTCCATACTTACCCTTGTTTAAGAGGTAAGTACAAAAAAATGGAGTGATTTGGTTGGATGATTCTATGATCAATTAAACACCATGACTTGGTTAATTAATTGTTTCTAACAGATTCTTCTTGGAAAGAAGCTGAATAGGTTTTGTTGGCTCATGAGATACAATCAACAGCTTAAAGAACAAATAAACACACATAATATATACAATCAATTGTGAATACCATTCTCATCCTCTTCAAGAACACAGGAGGGTTCCCTTCAATGTTTTTAGACCCGAACCAGAGGTCAAACTGTTTTGACCTTCAGTTCATGGTTTGATCGATTCAATCGGTTTAATCGGTAAAATCGCCAGGTTGATCAAACTATTATAAATATATTATTTTGCAAAATATTTCACAAGGTGTTAATTGGGTGCAGTGGTAAGTGATTGATTTGATAGGTGAGAGATCACAGGTTTGAGCCTGGGTGAGAACAAGTTTTAATATAATTGTGGTTTTAAAGATAAAATAAATATATTGTAAAGCAAAAAATAACAAATAAAAAGTTGTGTCTCAAGTGGTTGAGTATTTGTTTCATATCATGGAGAATGGGTGTTCCAATCCTATGGTTGTCATTAATAATTTAATTAAAAGTTTTAAGAATTCTATTAGATAAATAAAATTTCAAGCATTTAATGACATAAGAATGGCATCATCCTAGTGGTAAAGAGTAGAAATTAAGGCTTCGGAGTTGTGAGTTCAAGTCTTGTGGGAGACAAAATTTTGAAGATTTTATGCTTAACCATTGAACCGTCCAGTTGAATGGTTTATTGGTTTGAGTGGTTTCAATGGTTCTTATTGGTTTCAAATGGTTTATAGTTCAAATAGTTTAAAAAATACAACCGAACCGTTTGTACCACCGAGTATTGGTTCAACCAGTCCAACAAACCGATTTAGTCCGATTTTCAAAACATTGGTTCCCTTCCTACTTCAACAACCTATCCCACCATTTCTTTTCTCTTTACAACATGCACAAGAAACCCATGTCTTGAACCTAAGAGCCTGTGTTCATCGCGAACCCAGGAATCTGCTTCCCCCATCCTTTCCTTTCTTCGTTTTTTTTTTCTTTTTCTTTTTCTTTTTCTTTTCTTTTACCTTCAGGTGAACCCAGGAGCTAGGTTCGTCCTAAACCCAGGCGCCTCGGTTCGTCGTGGGTTCTTGGGTTCGTGATGAACCCAGCCTGTGGGTTCGTGATGAACCCAGCCTGTGGGTTCGTGATGAACCCAGGTGCTTGGGTTCATCGCAAAGCCAAGAACCCACGACGAACCCAGGCGCTTAGGTTCGTTGTGAACCCGTGAGTTGGGTTCCTCGCGAACCCAGGCTCCTGGGTTCCTCGCGAACCCAGGCTCTTGGGTTCCTCGTGAACCTAGGCTCTTGGGTTCGCCTAGGGGTAAAAGGAAAGAAAGAAAAAAAAAAAAAAGGGCCAAAGGAAGGAGAGGATGGGGAAGGAGACGAGGATAAATCAGTAATTAAAGGTAAAAAATTTACCTATGTCATCAATTTTTGAGGGTAAATAAGTAATTAAAGATAAAAAAAGTTAACCATGTCATCAACTCTTGTGAAATGGATTTTCCACGAAATTTGAGTTAAAAAATAAATAAATTTTTTCGTTAATTAACTTATCACATCAGTTAAAATTTAATGGAAAGACTAAAAATGGGCTAGATTTTAAAATTTAAGGACCAAAAAAGAGATTTTTTCGGTATAAGGACCAAAAAGGAGCTTTTCCCTATTGTTGAGGGACCAAAAAGGGTATTTAACCTAAAAAAATCTAGTATTTATTACGATTTAGGAATTCGCCTTGACGGGACGGGATAGGCCAGCAGCAGGAAAGAACAGGAGGAATTACGGCATACCATGCTTCATCCCTTTGAAACGACGTCGTATAGAAGAAAAACATGTTGGCCGCCTTGGGGCAGAACTGGAGAACATAGAGAATCCCTAATTACATCTTAAATTAAGGTCCCTTCCCCTGCCCTCCCCTGAATCGGAAAAACAAAGCATTTAGCATCCCATAATCCATGGGGAAGAGGAAGGAGCGTCGTCTTGCCGCTTTGAGCAACGCCGGCCGTCGTGTCAAACTCGATCTTTTCGCGGAACCCTCTGGTTCGTCTCTCTCTCCCTCTCTGGTGTTTCATTTTAGGGTTTATTTATTTATGAATGAATCAATAGTTTTAAATGATGAATTATTCTTCTTAATGAATTGTTTCTTGATTGATGTAGAAGATTTGGGTGGCTCCCAAGATGATAGGGACGCCAATCATGAGCCTGCCTTGCCCTTGCAACCGTTGCCAAATTCACCATCTTCATCTTCTTCTTCAGGTGGGTTCCCTCAGTTTTCTTCGAAAGGACTATGTATGTAGAGGGGGGGCATCACTGCTCTACATTCTTTGTTTCCGTGGAATTATGGGTTCCACACAAAGACATGTTTTTTGAGTTTGTTTTATCAGAAATTAGGGTGCTTCTGCTCTTTACAACAACATTCACACAGGTCAGCTCAGCTCGGCCCCTGCTACTCTCATTATTTGAATGTTAGACCCTGCCTGCATCAAAGCCTTTTGCAGATTTTCTTCGTCTGCAAAATTTCCCTCTCGGTTCGTATGTCTCTTGCCTTTTAATTTCTCCAATGCCTCCACTGACATCTTTGTTTCTCATGTGCAGGTGACTCTGGTCAATAATTCCTATAATCTCATATGAATTTTGTCCACCATTTTTTTTCCCTTTTTTTTTAAATTTTTTATTTTGTTATTTTTTTAATTTTTTTTTCTCTTTTCCACTTTACTATACTACTATGTTTATGATTATTTAGCTATTAGTAAGTGTGTAAAAATTACTGCTTTGAAGTTTCAAGTTTTTGATGTCATAGCATTTTATCTCATCTCCAGGTCAACAACCACCAAATCCTTTGCTGTTACTTGGACAGTATAGCGATGATGATGAATCAGATAAAAGGCTTGAAGATGGTGTTGTACACAATTCATTGGCTGACAATGCTGATCAGGTAATTGTTGGTTTCCCTAAATTTCATTTTGAATGACCTGTCTTTTTTTTTCCCCCCCTTAAAGCAACATTAACCACATGCTAACCTCCTAATTTATATTAGGTTAAGGGGCCACTCAACGAGGTTGATGCAGGGGAAAGCCAAGCTTCTCAGAATGCCAATCAACAGGATCAGGAGACAGATTCTTTACCATTGAATGGTCTCAAGAACCTGGAAGGCAGTGATACTAGAGAGAGAGATGATCATGCCCCCAATGACTCACACAAGGAAAAGGATTCTTCTGCAAGCAACTCTATCTCTGGGACTTCTGAACTGCAAGTCATTGGAGATGTGGGGTCAGGCTGGAGAATGGTAATGCATGAAGAGAGTAATCAGTACTATTACTGGAACACTGAAACTGGGGAAACATCATGGGAAGCACCCAATGTTTTGGCTCAGACAACCCAATCAACCTCTGATCAAAAAGCTTCTGCTATTGATCATACCGAAATTGCCCTTGAAGGCCCTCATGATTCCAAATCAAATTCAGGCGTCCAGTTAGATGATACTTCTGCTGCTGTAACCATTGACAACTCTGTGGCTGGCAATTTGATCCATGAAAGCAAAGTCTATGACACTGGGGCCCAATTGGATGTGCAGGATGTTGGATACAAAACTGAATCTCACCCTGATGCCAATGAAATTGAATCTCAAAGTAACTTCGCTGCAGTTAATTCTCATATAGCCCTTGCAAGTTCACCTGGTTCTGAGAACTGCATGCAAGCTGTGCTAGCCAGTGAAGAGCCTAAGATGGAGATTGATATCTCTTCTAATCTTGTGAAACAAGGAGAGCGTTTATTAGAAAGAATGAAGTCGCTAAAACTGTAAGATACATCTATTTGGTTTCATTTTGTATCTTTTCTTTGTTTTCTTCATTTTTTTATATATATCAAATATGTCGTTTGTCAAATTTGGAGTAATAATTTTCTCTCAATTCTGATCGAGAAATAATTTTCAGGTCTGAAGACCACCTGCAAGGTCAGAGCTGGATGTCAAATTATATTTTAGAACTAGAAATTAGACTTTCAGATATTAAGTCACTTCTGCTATATGGTTCCTCTATGCTTCCTTTTTGGGTACACTCAGAAAGGCAGCTGAATCGGCTGGAAGATGCTATTAATAATAAGATTTACCAGTTTGCAAAATCTGTTGCCATGGATGAAGCTGATGAAACACCCATCTCTTCTGGAGAGAAATTGAAAACTCATGAAAGTTTAGGAAATGAATCTCAACCTGATGGAAATGAAAGCAACACAACTTCTTCCACTCCTGATGTTTCTCCTGTTTCTGCTGATGTCAATGCATTAAGAGCAGTCAAGTTTGACTCAAATGGTCAAGCTCAACAAAATGTTGCTTGTGTTTCTTCCTTAGGATCACCTGCTGAACATTTGGAAAGTGGTGCTACAGTTAGTCCGCAAGTTGTTGGAAATGCTCATTCAGATGACACTAATTCTAAGATTGGATCCTATGCTGGAGAGGATGATGACATGGATGTTGACATGGAAGTTGAGGATGCAATCCCAGCAAGCACCACCATGCTCAGAGATGTTCCGAGTACCAGAAACTCTGCTTCCCTCGAGCAATATCCAGTGGCAGAACACTCAGCTGGTGTACCACTTCCAAATGAAGATTGGATTCCCCCACCACCACCAGATAATGATCAGGTTCCTCCACCGCCTCCTGATGATGAACAAGTTCCTCCACCACCACCACCTGATGAGCCTGCTGAATCATATCCTCTGCCTCCATCTTATATGGAGACAGGACAGCCACTCTCTTGCCCAGAACAGTACAACATATCATATCCAGATTCTGCTTACCTGTATTATGGGCATGGGCATGGGGTTACTGAAGTCCCAGTTAGTAATATGTACGGACACGTTGATGCAAACCAGGTTGTTGTTCCCCAGGCATCTATTTACTATCAGACAGTGCCAAACACTGCTGCATCACTCTTGGTTAACCCTGTTGATACTAAAATATTTTATGACCTTCACGGCCAACAAGTGCCTTCTTTACCAGTAGATAGCAGTGCTGGATCTTCTCATTTACCCAGCGAATCAGATCCCATGACTTACAGTAGTCTTGCTTCAAATAAAAGTGGATCTACTGGTGCTGTTCCAATAGAAAGATCCACTGTAATGAATAATGTTTCTGTTTTCACTGAGAAGACTGAAATTGCGTCAGGTGGAGTCTCTTCTAGTTCAGCCACCACTGAAGCTCCTGCAACTCTTCCTGTAAAAGAAAGTGTTTCTGCAGCAGCAGCAGCAGCAGCTGCTGCTGCCGCAGCTGCAGCTGTGGCTGTTGCTGGTTCTTCAACAACTTCAAAGTTACAATCTAAAGGTACAATTTTTTAACACTTTTTTTGTTACATGTATTTACTTACTTTTGATAACCTTTGCACTAATTAAAGTTTAAGCTTTCGTTGTGCTTTATTTAAACTGTGCTCCACTAAGATGTGTCTGTAAGTAACATATTCAGAATAGTAACCAAAATAAGAGTAACACATTCATATGTCCTGCACTCATCTGATTATTTCCAAGAACTACTCTTACTAGCATGGTTGTGATTCTTGTGAATTCTAGTTGATAATAGTTTTAAAGGCTGTCAAGGTTCAGAGGTATTGCTGCTCCATCTGATGTATTTATTACAATGTGAACATTGTTTACAAAGCAATTTTTTAAAATGATAATAACTTTGGTGATATGGTAAAGAAAAATTTTGAAAACTTTTAGGAATCTGATGATGAATTTAGCAGGTCTTTATAAGCAACTGTAGGATGAATCGTCCAAGGCCTATTAAGTGTTAGAAATATATCTGCCTCAGTCACGTGACTCACCTCTATCTAGTTAATAACTTCATCCATTTTGTTGTTGAACTCTGTTAAATACTAGCAAATATAAACTTTTGTTTTTTGGAACTGATACTAACCCTGTTACCTTTGCTCTGTCTCAGCCTTGCGAGGTAAAAAGCGCACAGTTGCAGTTGCTTCATCCTTGAGATCTAGTAAGAAGGTCTCTAGTTTGGTGGACAAGGTACAAGAATTGCCCTCATTTATTGGTCTATCTCATGGATTTCTATGCTCAGTGTCTGTTCCAAAATCTGATTTTCTGAAATGTTTTAAATTTTACCAGTGGAAAGCTGCCAAAGAAGAGCTGAATGAGGTAGAGGAAGATGAGCCTGCAAATGCTTATGAAATCTTAGAGAAGAAGCGACAACGGGAAATAGAGGTTCCCAAATCAAACCTTGTTTTTCTTTATTATCTTTTCTCACTGTTTCTAGCACTACATGACCTCTCTTTGATGGCAGGAATGGCATGCTCAGCAAATTGCAAGTGGTGAGGCCAAAGATAATGCAAATTTTCAGCCATTAGGTGGCAATTGGTATGAGTCTATAATCTATTTTAAGTCTTAACAATTTTACACTGCCTTCTATGTTTTTTGCCATCTTAGCTAGGTATCAATCTGTTTTCCTCTCTCTATTCAATAAAGCAGGAGCTACTTTCTTTTCTGCTTTTCTTGAAGTTCTCATGTATTTGCAGTAACCTCTGAATAGTCTAGGTGAAAGCGTAGTTTGTTTTAATGCAAGTAATGTAGAATTAGGACTGAATGAGCAGGATTTCAATTCCTTGAAGCAGATTGCTTTTACTGTGTGCAATTGCTCATCTTGCTGCACCTCCACTACTGCCTTCTGCTCATCCACTTCCGTTCTTGAATCCTTTCACTTTCTTAGATATGTTGTGAAGCTCATCTGCTATATCAATAGGAATTATCTGGTACTCTATGTGACTTCCTCCAAAATGTGTCTTTCTTTGTAGGCGTGAAAAAGTAAAGCGGAGAAGAGCTGAGAAGGCCAAAGAATCCAAAGCATCTGTGGATATTTCAGCAGAAGTCCTTCCTGATGGAAACCAGGAATCTGATTTAGCTGAACTCTCAAAGAACCTCCCTTCTGGATGGCAGGTTTGGATTTTCCCACATCTATTTTATTTTATTTTATTTTTTGTTTGCATGGTTTTAACTTTTAACATACCATTGTCTATAGTTCATTCAACTTCTGAATTGAAATAACAATTTTTTTTTTATATTCTCTCGTCTTCTTTCTTCAGGTTTATTGGGATGAAGCTTCAAAACAGGTCTACTATGGGAATATCAACACTTCAGAGACAACCTGGACCAGACCGACAAAATGATATCAGACTTAATCAGTTTTCTACTGTTCTGTTTTTTTGGGTTGTATCAATATTTTCTCTGCTTAAAATTTTCCAATTGTATATTTTGTTAGAGATGGATGTTGAATTTTCCAAGCAAAAAGAAAGAAATCATAAGTCGCTCTTTGTTGGCTTCAGACCCGAAAAAGTAATATCATTAAACTAAATTTATAAAAAAATGAACCGAAAGAGTAATATCATTATTTGACTGAATTTCTCTTACGGGACTCAAAGCTTTAATGAGCTAAATCTTTTACCTAAAAGAGAATCGTATGTAATGACCACATCTTACTGTAAAATTCTTTATATATCTATCATCTACTTTAAAAATAAGCAAAACTTCAAATCTACTCCTTAAAAAAAAAAAAAAAAAGTAAGTTGTACATATCTATCCTTTAAAAAAAATAAAGATAAATTATTTTTATAAATCATAATTAAAATAAATTACTTAATTTTTAACAGATTTTATCAATTTTTTAATTAAAAAATACTTATATAATGAACAAAATCTATTAAAAAATAAACGATTTATCTTAACTTATAATTTACAAAAATAATTTATCCTTGTATTTCTTTTAAGAGTGGAGCTATTCTTGTCTACCTTTTTAAGGGTAAATTTAGGGATTCAGCCTTAAAAATAAATAAATAAAAAATTGATATTGAACTTTCATAAATAATCCCAGACTACAGATTCTTTCTCTAAACTATGCTAGTCAGAAA